GGGGGAGCACCAGCAGGGGAGGTCGCGCGCTGAACCGTCGGGCAAAACCGCGAGATGTCAGTGATGGGCCCGACAGGACTCCTCCCTGGCGCGGATGAACATGTGGGTCGCCACGTCCGGTGCAACACCGGTGGGGCTCGAGAAAGAATCCTGCGGGGGACACGAGGCCCGTGGCACGCCGGCCTCCACGGGGCCAGCCTCCACTCCCCGCCCAGAGCCCGGGAGGGTCAGCCTCGTTCCAGACGGCGGCTTCCCTGGTTCCGGAATCTCACTGCCCTTCTTTGTAAATTATCATCATTACGATTATTGTTGTTATTATTATTATTTAGGGACAGAGTCTCCCTCTTGTCGCCCGGGCTGGAGTGAGCGCTGTGGCGTCAGCCTCGCTCACAGCAGCCTCCAACTCGGGCCTCAACCGAGCCTCCTGCCTCAGCCTCCCTCCCGAGTAGCTGGGACTACAGGCATGCGCCACCACGCCCGGCTCGTTTTTTCCATATATATTTTTAGTTGTCCAATTAATTTATTTCTATTTATAGTAGAGACGGGGTCTCGCTCTTGCTCAGGCTGGCCTCGACCTCCTGACCTCAGGCGATCCTCCCGCCTCGGCCTCCCAGAGTGCTGGGACGACAGGCGTGAGCCACCGCACCCGGCCTTAACTATAATTAGTTAAGTTGATTATAATTATAATTGACGCCACGGCACTGTAGCCCGGGCGACAGAGCGAGACTCTGTCTCAATAAAAATAAATAAAAGAGAGAAGTAAGAGCCAATGACAGGCCGGGCGCGGTGGCTCACGCCTGTCATCCCAGCACTCTGGGAGGGAGGCCGAGGCGGGAGGATCGCTGGAGGTCAGGAGTTAGAAACCAGCTCTGAGCAAGAGCGAGACCCCGTCTCTACTAAAAATAGAAAGAAATGAGCTGGACAACTAAAAAAATACAGAGAGAATAATTGAGCCGGGCGTGGTGGCGCACGCCTGTAGTCCCGGCTACTCGGGAGGGAGGCCGGGGCAGGAGGCTCGCTCGAGGTCAGGAGTTGGAGGCCAGCCTGAGCAAGAGCGAGACCCCAAGTTTACTAAAAATAGAAAGAAATGAACTGGACAACTGAAAATATATATATAAAAAAAAGAGCCAGGCGTGGTGGCGCACGCCTGTAGTCCCGGCTACTCGGGAGGGAGGCCGGGGCAGGAGGATCGCTAGAGGCCAGGAGTTGGAGGCTGCTGACGCCACGGTGCTCTATCCCGGGCGCCAGGGCGAGACTCTGCCTCAAAAAACAAAATGAAATAAAATCAAAAGAGCCGGTGACGTTCCGGAAAACGACACGATCTGGTGCCGGGAACCCAGGACGGAGGAGGAGGCGGTTTGGAGGCCGGGGTGACGCCCACCGAAAGTCGAAGTCCGGGACAATCCAGGTGTCCAGATCCCCAGTCCCCGTCCCCCCTGCGGTCCCGAACCCCGCAGCCCTGCGGGTCCCCGGCCGCCGCGACTGCCGGGCGGGAGACCCCGCTGCCTCAGTTTCCCCACTGACCTGGCCTGGGGACCTGGTTCCCGCCGCACACCAGGGTGGCCCCCTCCCGCACGCCGCGGCGGCAGTACTCCAGGAGCTTCTCCAAGTGGGCCTGGTGGTTCTGCGGGCCGTGCGTGGTGGCCCGGTCCAGGGGGTCCCCGATCTTCATCTTCCTCACTTCCTCCACCTGCGGGAAGCCCGGCCGGGGGGCGGCGCGGGGCGGTCGGACACGTGTGCGACGTTCCCGCCCGCCGCGGCCCCCCAGTTCCACCGGGGTCCCCCGAGAACCAGCCCCTCAGCGGGACGCCTGGACATCTGAGCCGTCAAAGCCCGGCCTTGACGACCGGCCCCTAGCAACGGGCGCCATGGTTACGCAGTTGTGTGCGTGTGGGCGTTGGGGAGCGGGACAGAGGATGAGCGGCCAGTCTCGGACGCGGACCCCCCAGTTCCACCGGGGTCCCCCGAAAACCAGCCCCTCAGCGGACGTCTGAGCGTTTGAGCCGTCAAAGCCCGGCCTTGACGACCGGCCCCTAGCAACGGGCGCCATGGTTACGCAGCACAGTCTGCAGGACAACCCATGGGTGTGGTCGCCGGGGGGCGGGACAGAGGACGAGCGGCCAATCTCGGACGCGGACGTCTGAGCCTTTGAGCCGTCAAAGCCCGGCCTTGACGACCGGCCCCTAGCAACGGGCGCCATGGTTACGTAAGGCAAACTCCGCAGGGTGGGCAGGACAGAGGACGAGCGGCCAGTCTGGGACGCAGACCCCCGAGTTCCACCGGGTTCCCCCGAAAACCAGCCCTTAGCGGGACGTCTGGACATCTGAGCCATCAAAGCCCGGCCTTGATGACCGGCCCCTAGCAACGGGCGCCATGGTTACAGAACACAAAGTCCGCAGGACGGCCCGTGTGCGTGTGGTCGCCGGGGGGCGGGACAGAGGACGAGCGGCCAGTCTCGTCCACGAGCTCTGGGGCTGGACGGGGGAGGCCGGTTCTAGAAGGTTCTAAAGGGGAAACAGAGTCGCGAGACGCTGGGGCCGGGGGCCGGGGTCTGGAGAGC